TGGTCCATGGTTGATGTGCTCTTTCTGCTGACGAGTGGCGGTGGGTGCTAAGGCAAAGGCCTCTTCAGTGAATGTGAGCGCTAGGTAAGGCTAGTCGGGTAGAACCAACGTTATTCTGGTTAGCATCTGTTGGCAATCATCATCATCATCTTTTGGTGGTGAGCTTCACACCAGAGCTCTGGTAACCTGAAAAAAAGCACACGAAAGCACAAAAGCACACAACCAACAAAAATGAAAACACGAAAGCTGTCACCAGAGTGAAGAGTTAGCGAGACTTTTTTTTTATTTGTTCTCACAGGTGGCGTTACCACACTGTAAAATTTCGTGGATTGATTTAAATTCAATCAGCAAAAGGTACATTTCTTTTTGATTGGTAACTCTATTTATCGCTAACCTTACCCAATTCTACAACCACTTTTTTTACCGAAATTGTTACTTTTTACTTTTAATTAATTTTATTATCGTCTCACAGGCAAATGCCATTGAGTGTGTGTGTGTGTCATATGATGATCTAATCTGTTCGAGAATCCTTGCAGCAGCTGCAGATGCTACCACAGCTGAAAAGGTCGAAAAACTCAACAAGTTCAACAACAACAACCCGAAACAACAAGTGAAAACTAGAGTAGAACGAGAACAAATCATCGGCAAAATCAGCAGCAGCATCAGCAGAAAAGAGAAGATAATAAATAGGTAGGAAGGTAGGTAGGTAGGAAAAGTCCTCCTCCTCAAGGAAGAGTGAATAGAGTGTGTTAGTTTAAGTGGTGAGTTGAGTTGAGTCGATTCAAAGAAAATGAGGATGAGGATGCTGATGAAGAAGGATGTCGAGTAATGACGATGAGCGTGATGATGATGATGATAATGAAGGTAGTCTAGTGTGATAACTGCAGTTTGAGTATTCCAAATAGTAGTGGAGTAGTAGTGGAAGGTAGGTCGCTTCTTGATCATCAGTTGCGTTCTTCAAAGTACGCACTACAAATCCTTTTTTGTTGTCGTTGATGTCGTCGTCGTCGTCGTTGTCGACTTTGATTCCTCTCCATCAGCGTTCCTCATCGTCGTCTTCTCAACACCATTGCCATTGACACACTTGCCCACTACTTCNCGTCGTTGATGTCGTCGTCGTTGTTGTCGACTTTGATTCCTCTCCATCAGCGTTCCTCATCGCCGTCTTCTCAACACCGTTGCCATTGACACACTTGCCCACTACTTCCTCCTTACCTCCTCCTCCTTTATTTCTTCCTCCGCCGACCAGCAGCTTCCTCAGGCCGTAGTTGTCGATGAAGAGGTTGGCAAAGAGACAGAAGAAGGTGACGTACACCAGAAAGCCAAAGGTGGCCGTCTTCATGGGAATGTCGCAGTAGCCACCGGTGAGCTTCACCGCAAAGGCGTACGAGCTGACGTAGAAGCCAAAGACCATCTGGACGATCTGCAGCGAGGTGACCACCATGGCGATCGGTCGCGGTACGGACACCTGCAGCGCCCGAAAGGCGTAGTACCCGTACATGATCGAGTGGACGCAGTAGTTCATGGTGACGAACCACCGACCGAGGCTGATGTTCTGTCCGAAGCTGTACCAGGTGTACACCTAGAAGGGAGAACAACAAAATGGTTAGCAAACGACAGAACTTGGAAAACTCTCAAAAAGAGTACTGACCAAAGCGAGAATGTGGTGGAACCAGTGGAGGAAGATGAGCCGCTGCTTGCGCAGCACAATGAAGACCGTGTCACCGAGTTCGAAGATCTTCGAGAGTGCAAAGAGCCACATCCAGTACTGGGCGCGGCCGTTGGTGCAGGCGACGCAGACGGAGTGGTCGAGGCCGCGCAGCACCAGCGACTCGTACATCTCCCCCAGCATGTGGTAGCTGCCGGCGGCGCTGAAGGCGGTCAGGCCGACGTTCCACAGCGTCAGCGTCCGGCGCAGCTTGAAGGGCGTCCGCGTGCGCATCAGCTGCTGCAGCGAGTAGATCAGCACCATGTAGACGATGCTCACGTAGGCGGTGTAGTGCCAGTTCGCCTCCATCCACTTCAGCGAGGGATTCAGCGACCAGTCGAGGATGGAGAAGGCCGGCTGGCACTCCTGGTACACCAGGGACGGATGGCCGCTGGACATGTCTGGTGGATTGATGGTGGTGGTAAAAAAGAGGAAGATTGGAGATCAAAAGAAGGAGGTGGTGGTGGTGGTGGTAGAGTTGGTGGAAAAGGAAAAAAAGTCAAAAAAGAGAAGTGTTCGTGGTGGTAAGAATCAAATATAAAATAAAAGCTTGTGTGCTTTAGCGGCCGCTGATAAAGTGATCTGCTCGCTCCTTGCGGGCTGGTTGTCTTTTACTCCCCCTCTAATCAGCAGCAGAAGCAGAAATGTGGACAATTTGTCAGCTGACTAACTGTCTGTCTGTCTGACTGACTGGCTGGTTGTCTGCCGACTGCACAAACACTAAAGTTCGTCTGTCTGGTGAACTTTATGACAGTCGTCGCTGGCTCTTTGACCGGTCAATCAGCAATCTTGATAATTGCTGATTGAGAAAGAAGAGAGAGAGAGAGAGAAGAGGAAAACGGCTGATTGCTAAACACTGCTGATCATGTTCGGTAGAACAGCTGATTGATCTAGGCAGACAACGCAATGATGAAATATAAAAGAGAACGATTGGTTGAGGGAAAGGGGAGGAAACGTACTTGTTGGTGGTGGTAGTGAAAGAGATGTGATAATGACAAAGGTGGTGAAACGAATTAAAGCCACAGGAGTTCACCACCAACACACACTGGTGGACTGTCAGACTAGCAGTGCACAACTGGAGCAACGGCAGCGGGCTACTCCATAGGAACTGGACGGGCGGCGCAAAAGTTTCAGGCGCTGGAGAAAGGATCAGGATCAGACGAGAAAGTGGAGTTGCCAAATTGGGCGCTGGGAAGTGGCGGTGATGATGATGATGATGGTAATCAAATGCAGTAGGAGGAGGAAAAAAGGAGGAGGAGAAAATGAAGGAGAGCAAGTGTTGAAGTGAAAATGAGAGAAGTGTTTGCACCAAAGAAAAGGTTTTTTTGCTGTTCTTCAGTTTACCAAAGTGATCAAGTGGGGAAGAGGGGAAAAAAGATTTCTCGGTACTGAAGGAAAAGAGAAGTACTCGTTTGGCCTGAAAACTCAACTACTCTCATAAAAAAAGAGTAGACGGTAGTAGACCAAAACCTTCAACTCGTCGTCAGGACTCAGGAAAAAGAACAGCAGCAGCAGCAACAGGTGGTCGAACTCCGGTGCATTCAGTTCGACTCCTGACTTCACTCTGTCCTCCCTCCCTCTCTCGAACACTTTTTTGCACTGCTCTCCCCTGTGTTAGCAATCGGCGACGGCAGCAGCAGTGACAGCAGCAATCATAATTTGGTATGCCGTGTGTATTTGTGGGGAAAGAGAGAGAGAGAGAGAGAGAGAGATTGTCTGTCCCCACAGAGTCCACAAGAGAGAGAGAGACACTGCTACACTGCTGCTGCTGCTGCAGCTGCTGGGAAATAGCTGTGCTCTCTTTTGACTAC